TGAGTTTATTTTGTTCATTAGGTTATCTAAGTTCATTTGGTTATTAGACTCCTTGTGTTTTCTTCCCCTGTATTTAAGCTTCCCCTCACCCTTCGTGTTTCATGCTGCGTGTCTTATGTTATCAAGTTTGTATTATCATGTCTGTCTCATGTTTCCTGTTTTATTTTGAAGGAGTCATGTGTTCTTTCTTCATTGTATTTAGTTTCACTTCCCTTGTCCTGTCCTTAGGCTCATGTCAGTCAGCTGTTCCTCCATGTGTTCCCACTTCCCCTAATCACCTCCTGTGTATTTAAGTCCGGTTTTCAGCGTGTGATTGTCAGGTCGTCTGTTGCCCACGCCATGCTTCCAAGTTTCTTGTCTAGGTTTTTCTTATTGTTTGTTTAGATTCCCCAGTTTAGGTTTGTGTTAATTTTGCTTCAGTTTGCCTTGCCCTTTGTTTGTACCTTTTCTACCAGCCATATTAAACGGCTCGCTTTTTGTTAATATTTCAAGTTCTGTTCCATGTTCCCTGGAGTCTGCGTTTTAGGTCTTTTTGTCAACCCCTACTGTCTGCCCTCGCCAGACTGTGACAGATTTCCTTGAATTGAAACTCTTCAAACAAACAAACACACGCACACGCACACACACACGCACTGTGTTCTGAATCTTTTCAGCCACTCGATGATGTTCCTGCTGTTTTTAGTCTGTGGTTGAGGTTTAGCTGTTTGTCTGTTCTTTGTTGTCTGCTCTGAATAGATGTGTGTACCAGTTAGAAACACAGTTCAAATTTTCCATCAGCACTACTTCTGAAACCCACAGAACCACACGACAGGAATGACACATGAGCGCAAAGTTTACTGATGCTGCAGAGGAAGCAGTTCACTGCTGTATAGAAGCAACAGGTGCCACACTTAGAAATGAAATGTAACAAAAAGCAAACTTTATTGAGGACAATTAAAACAATTCATTACATTTATATTTTAGTTACGCTTTGTTACACTATATGCAGACAGACTTATACAACCACTGAGAGTGATTACAAGGGCTGTGTGGGCCAGTTAGAGACCAGCAGCTGGACATCAGTGGTTGGACCGGTGGACTGCTTCAGTGAAAAGTAGACGACGTTTGGCACTGGTTTAAAGTCTAAACACAAACAAACACAGTTCAACATGAGAAGGATAAGCAGCTCTGAAAACTCAGTTATGTTTATGTAAAGTAAACTGACAGAATGGGGAGAGGATTTAAATTTGTTGTTGAGTGTTCAGACAGTGACGCTGAGACATCATCTCTCTGAAACATTAAACTGTTACAGAAGAAACAAACTCCAGATAAAGCTTCATTTATGTAGGTTCAGTTTAAAGTTTAACAGATTAACAGTCCACATGGCTGTACAAAAGAATTTTAACTACAAAATACGAAATAAACTAAAATAAATTAACTGCTGAGTATGGACATATCTTCCTATTTTCACACATTTTAAAGGTTGTTTACACTTTACAGATGGAGGTTGCTGCTGATGTGATTTTATCTTAATAAAAGTCATTTTTACAATTTGATCTGCTGAGTCTGTCAGATCTGTCACATTCTGTGGTATTGTATGGTAAATGGTAAATGGCCTGTATTTATATAGCGCTTTTCTAGTCCCTAAGGACCCCAAAGCGCTTTACATATCCAGTCATCCACCCATTCACACACACATTCACACACTGGTGATGGCAAGCTACATTGTAGCCACAGCCACCGTGGGGCGCACTGAATATAACGCATTGTATTGGTCTATTTATAAAAAGCTACAGAGGCCAAGAAGAACAACTTAATACGTTCTGGAAGCTCACTTTCATTGAAGAAAAGAGACAAACACTGCATAAATAATTACTCTGTTTTTAGTGAAAAGAGCAGCTGTACCAGTGTGTGTGTTTGTTCTTACAGCTGTTTGTCCATAACTGATGTCTTCAGTTCTCAGGGCTGAGTGGACAGGAACGGGATCACTCTCTGCACAACAAAACACACAGAGAGGAATCACTGCAAATACTAGAAGTTATAGAAGTGATGCTATTGAACAGGATGTGTAAAAAGATAAAAGTTACTACTATTCCTATGTAGCACAATGAAAAAAATTCCTAAAAATTTGATCAGCTCTTTTTTGGGGGAAAAAACCCACTAGATACATTTGTTCACTTTTTTTTTTTTAATATGAGAAGAAAACACACATTTTATGACGTCTTCATGACATCCGTCTTGCATAAATACATCCTGATCACAGGCATAACAACTCTATGTGAGATACTGTGGCCTCTCATAAACTCACAATCTTTTTCAGCTAGGCCAGTGGTTCTCAATACCACTGTGACATTAACAGTCCTGCAGTACAACCTGAGGAGCTGAAGTATTTTTATCTGACAGAGGAAACATGACGACCACAGAGCCGTTGTTTCTGTTAACAGACTAACCACAGGCTGAAAAACACATGCAAAGAGCAGCATTCATTAACGGTCACCTACAAACTCAGAACACCTACAGTGAGTTCAATTCTAGTCTTTAAATAAGTTCTGTAAAATGGTATCATTGAAAGAAATCATCCATTTTCTGAATCACTGATCCATCTTATTGAAGCACAAAGTCTGGAGTCTATTCCAGCTGAGATACACAGCAGAAAGGTTACCAGTCCATCACAGGACTAACAAAGAGACAGACAACTAAACACTCGTTCACACCTACAGCCGGTGTTCTGACAAACCATCCTACTTAACTTAACTGAAGCTGCAAATTTGATAATTTTGTGCAAAAAGCAGATAGCGTTTTCATTCAGGAGCTGCATCCTTCGGAGGCCACATTTGAAGGCCAATTACGTCACAGCCAGACGACGAAGGCTGTCCCAATTCTAAGACTGCTCCAAACGGGGCCGACAAATGCGTCCTTCATTTCCCCTGATTTGAAAGATGGGTCTTCTATTCTTCGGGGCCTACCATATCTCAGAAATCATAGCGCGGTAACTGGTGAGACAACTGGTGACGCAAATCTGAAGGCTACACCGTCCCACTTCACAGCCTCGCATTTCTGGCCTTCTCGGTCTTTGGAGGACCTTGCCCACGTCGACCATGAAGGCTGGGTTCTTCGAGGAATGCAGCCAATGAATTGAGATACAGCTCGGGTACTCCGGCTTCCTCTCACAGTCCAGAGGCATGCAGTTATTAAGTTATTATTAAGGGCAATTCTAAATTGCCAAGGTGTGAATGTAACCTTGAATGGCTAACCCTATGTCACGCTGGCATCATCTCGCCCTGTGGTAGCAGGGATAGGCTCATGCCCTGCAATGGCCCTGACAAGAATAAGCAAAATAGAAGGACCTGCAGCAGCAGTCACCAGGCTTTTTTGCGCCACGGTTCAGTTTAATGTCAGACAATATTTTCATGGACCAGCCTAAGGTGTTGCAGATAAATACAACAAAATAAAATATTACGACGAAGATAAAAACGTTATTTTGTAAATATAATAATAAACGCTAATTCACTGTGTAACTGTTTAACTTTATTAGGAGCGTCCAGCTGGTGAAAAGTAAAAACTAAAAAACGCTCGACACAGCATATTAAACACTACCTCTGCTTCCTCTGATTGGCTGTTGCCAATGATTTGAGATTTTCTCTCACTGTATGTGATGTCATTATCTCCAACTCCTCCCCCATCAGCTGAAATCAGTCAGAATGAACAGTGAAATAATTTACTCTTTCATACTCTGAGAAAAATATTAGTGAATATCACATCAAAATAATTTACCATGAAATAGAAAGTCTGAGTCTCACCTTCAAGCTTCCTGTGAACACATGGTCTCCCTAACAGAACCAGTAACACCAGTAAGAACCCACAGATTGATTTAAGAAATGACAACACAGAGAGAGCAGTGGAGGACAGTGATGGAGGAGGTGTGGATGTAGGTGGAGGTGTGGATGTAGGTGGAGGTGTGGATGTAGGTGGAGGTGTGGATGTAGGTGGAGGTGTGGTGGTGTCCTTCTCTAAAACAAAGCAAACACAGTCATTAAGTTGTCGTCACATTGTGAATGTTGAAAGCTGCAGAAACACAGACAGGTGAGTGTGTCACCTGTGACAGTGATCCAGCTGGATGGAGACTCTCCATGACCGCTGATGTCACACTTGTAGAGGCCTTCATCAGACCTGGAAACATGCTGGATGGTCATGTGACCTGTAGGCTGCTTCCTGATGAGGGAGCCATCTTTATAGAAAGCAGCTGGGAGGTTGGAGGGAGTGGTCTTTGTTTTACAGAGCAGAGTGACGTCATCTCCCTCCATCACAGGGAGGACAGGACTCTGCAGGATCACTGATCCACCTCAACACAGAGACAAACTACAGCATTTCATCCATTTACACACAGCTTCATCAACACTAACTCCACACACTCAGCTTACCAGTGACTGTCAGGTTAACCATGTTACTGATGGGACCCTCTCTGGACTCACACCAGTAAACTCCACTGTGTGATGTGTAAATGTAACTGATGTTACAGGAAGAACCAGCTGCTTCTCCCCACCCATCTCCACACTGAGTCCTCTGTTGTTTGCTTGTGTTTCTCCTCAGAGTCCATCCAGCAGAGCTGTCGTCCTCCTCACAGCTCAGAGACACAAAGTCTCTAATAAAGAACTGTAAAGAGCTGCTGGGACTCACAGTCAGACGAGCTGTGAGGGTTAAAATGAAAAATCATCTTTCTTATAATGTTAATACAATTGCAAATTCATTCAATCACAGAAACCCTTCACCAAATCTAAAGAATGAGCACCTCATATAATACTGTACAATGTTTTTTTGTGATTTTGGGGGCCATAACCACAAGCATAGAGATGATAAAGTCATGTAGCTGCATCAATACTGTCATCCCCCTAAATTTCAACATAAATCATTGATGAGATCTAGAAACAGTAACTTAAGTCTGATGCAAATGATCATGGAATTTTTTGAATACATGCACTGATTGAATAATAAATAAATTATTCTGTTCATCCGGACGTGTAATTTTTAGTGGGAAAAATGTTTTAATAATCATCTAAGTGACTTCTTCAGTCTCTTAAACAAGTGTTTTTTTTTCATAATACAACATAGAAAACTAATGAAATTCTAAAAGAGACATATGATGATAGCATCAGGTCTCAAAAAAGTTTGGACAACAGCCAGGAAAAGGAAGTGGTTGCAAAAAGAAACAGCTGGAGGAGATTTTGCAACAAATTAGTTGCAAAAGTTAAATGACAACAGGTTATTAACATTGATTGGGTGTAAAAAGAGCATTTTAGAGAGACAGAATTTCCAGAAGTTAAGATTGGCAGAGGTTCACTAAACTAGAAACCAAAAACCACAACTTTAAAATTCCAGCAGCTCAGTTCCCATGAACGGTTTATGAACGGTTGTTAATAAAAGAGGGCATATGTCAAAGGTAGCCCGTGCCAACTTTTTTGATCTAGGTTGCTGCCATCAAATTTAAGTGACTTTGTCTTAAAAATTGTCTAGTTTCCCATTTTAAATTATTAAATAATTTTTAAACATTTGATATGTTTTTAATGTTATTTCAGTGCTGTGAAAAATATTTGCCCCTTTACTGAGTTCTCTTTTTTTTTTGCAAATTTCTCACACATACATGTTTCAGCTCAAACAAAAAGTGTGATCATCATGTAAAATACAATTTCATTTGTTGCAGCAAACCTCAACTATCTCAACCTCGTATATGAAAAAAAGTAAGTTCATGTGAAACCTGGCCCCACCTTATCATGCAAACACAATGAGTTCACCCGAAACTCTGGCTGATTGGCCCAGAGTTTCACACCCAGTTACTCCCACTAGGTTTATATCTGGGACTCTCCACCATTTGACCTTAGAACTGAAGAAGCTTCTCGGATGAGAGGTGAAACGTCTTCAAGTAACTTAAAGAAGTCCAGACGCTTTTCTTTGCAAGCTCCTTTGACTACGATGACCTGGATGACTGAGAACCTTCACAGACATATTGTTCCAAGCATAACTTGTTGCCCACATGTTGCCCATATCTTCATGCCATATTTAAACTGTTTGCTTGGCATATATTGTATGAAAGGACAATCCTCCCTAAAAATGACCAGGCACTCATTCACCATGATGTTTGAATTTAGGACCTAGATAAGTGACTGGCACTCCACACACTTGTCCCAAATGCCTGTGATCACTGCCAGTTTGTCTTATTGACGACAGCCTCGTCTCGTATCACAAGACCAAGGACAAGCAAATCATCCATAACAACATGAAGTGTTGTAGTTGCCCGAGAAATTGTCTGACCAGACTCTGCATACCATAAACTCCTGATAGATTCATTTCTAAACACCACTTAGAATTAAGACTCGTGTATGCTTTGATGTTGTAAGTCACATTTACCATTATGGTTTTGATGGACTCAGTCAGGAGCCGTTCTCTCTCCTCCTCACTAGTGTAGTGATCAAATATCTAGAAAAGAGCCTCATTTATAGTGTATTGGAGCTGCTACATAATGAACTGAAAACTTTTTGAAGCATGTCTCAAAATAGTATTACACGTCAAAGCTTCACATTTTTTTGAAAATGTTAAGAAATCATTTTTGTGGACAAACTCATGGAATCTTAGGTCAGTCTAATCAAATTAACTACATTTTTTAAGAGATAAAACTTTTAAATGGGTTAAATTTGACCAGAACACAACATGAAAACAGTTCTAGTAGGACTTAATATTAAGATCACAAGCACAATCCCAAGACCTGAGAACTAGCTAACCTAAATTCATAATTTAGTTTATTTGTTATTAGTAACTCCTGCACTTTTCTGCTCTGAGGAGCAAAAATGTATGCTCTGAAGATTCCTATTGAAAGCCTCAAACCTGGGAGTAGCAGAATAATTAAAAAGATTTAAACTGTGATAAAAGGTTACTGACCTTGGTTTGTTAAGCAGAGCAGCCATGAGATCAGAACTAAAGATAAATGACACACAGTTAATTAACATACTTAACTTTGTTTTTCTTTATGGCAAAACAAATAAATAAAGTGCTATCACAGAGATAATAAAATAGAGATTATAGATCATGCCCTCTATATTTCCATCTTCAGAGAAACAGAGTTTTCATTCACTGACAGCATTTAGAGATAAAACCAAACGGTTGTTATTTTTCTCCAAAAAAAAATTTTATTTTTAAACACTAAAACACTGAATTTAACACATAACATGTAAATAAAATACTTACAGAACTGAAATTGTAATGAAATTTCCTCCATGGCACTTCTCAGTTTTGTGATTTTTTTTTTTACACCTTTTTTTGTTAATATTACCAACGAGAGCCCGCCCACTTCCTTAATGTCGCTCTTGTTCTCTCTCTATGTGCGTGTGAGTGTGTGCGAGTATTTGTCACACTAAATTTATTTTTTATTTCGTATTTTCTTACTCATTTTCTTTAAATAAAAAATGCACAGCCAGAATTAGCCTAAATAACCTAAAACCAGCAGTTTTATCATTGGTGACTTTACTTCATGCTATTACCAGCTCCTATGGAGTCAAGGTCCCCACCAATGACTGTACTGGTAGTCGGCAGGCACTATGCAAAGCTGTATGCTGTAAACAGGGGACAGTGTCAAAATATGTTCAACAACAAGTATTATGGTGTGTTAAGCCAAGTCTCAGTGATACACATGAAGTCCAGGTTCAAGGGCAATTATTATTATTCCAGGCGCCATCAAGAAGCCGCCAGGACTGAGGCAGGTACGTACCTGAGCGCCCAGCCCCGAACACCGACAAGCACCAACGCACCGACGGCTGAGGGCATCAGCCACCGGGAGGTAGTGTGGTGGGTGGAGCTAGGCCTCCACCCCTTGGGGGCCCTAAGATGTTCCAGGAGAGGCGGATGTGGGGACTCGACCTCATAGACATAGACAAACTGGCACACACAGACACAAGCATACGTTCCCAACCCTCATTCACACAAATACTCAGCACTCACCCAACGTGGAGACAAACAGAAATGAGCACTATACACCTATTCATACTCCCCAGACATACTCTATACTCCCAGGTCCAGGTATCACCGCCCCCACGAGGGGGATCAATCCCCAGACACAAGATATGTTACCCTTTTCCCTGCCGTGGGGGCAAGCAGACCACCCCCGGCCCAGCAGTTGCGGGGAGGCCCAGTGTCACAGACCCCAAAATGATTGCCAACTCCTCTCAGCCCCCCTGCCCCGATGGTGTGCAAAGAACAGGGGTGTGAAGACCCCATACCTAACTCCGCCCTCTCATATGTCGTGTTGCTGCGTGCTGTTCTAAAGTGCATTTAAAACACAGGAGGGGCATGGTGTCAGCACGGCCCCTCCCGAGAGTAAATTCTCTACCTCTGCCCAGTGCGCTTTCTCATCTTCATCAAAGATAAGTACAACCATTGTGATTTCATCTACTTGGCCATGGGGCAAGCAAGGGGGCAATTTATATTATTTATACAGAGTGTTGCGGCTACTCCAACCAATGGCCGCGGCAGGCTAAACATGAGGACACCTGATGACGCGCAACAATTAACGCACAAAACACTTCTGTAACATTTGCTTCTTTATTTACACATGCAACCGTCCAATATATACATCGGCACATAGGATTAACTATCAAACAAACGCACAGATTGCACAGATTGCACAGATTGCACAAACCAATAACTGCAACTCGTCGATAACTGTACTAACCATTATGTCCAATTACAACCTGGTTTATGGCATTAATTAGTACTCCGATATACAAACACCATCAAGTTCCAGTTAAAATACAACAAAATCATTCAAGTTACGCTCAAGTTGTGCTCTGTTGCGGTATGTTGCGGTCAACAGAAAGTTTTGCCTCGTGCTCACCCTACCTTCTGCTCATCACATCAGGTGCTGTGTACAAGTGAGTGCAACCACCTTCACCTTATACCACACCCATGAGACACGCCCCACACCCATGCACCAATACAGTGAGTCCATTTAAACCAACCCATTTAGTCAGACGGAAACAACTCATATGGCTCCTACACAGAGAGTGCAGAATTATTAGGCAAGTTGTATTTTTGAGGAATAATTTTATTATTGAACAACAACCATGTTCTCAATGAACCCAAAAACTCATTAATATCAAAGCTGAATGTTTTTGGAAGTAGTTTTTAGTTTGTTTTCAGTTTGAGCTATTTTAGGGGGATATCTGTGTGTG